TCTCTCTCTCTCTCTCTCTCTCTCTCTCTCTCTCTCTCTCTTGTGTCAAAAAGGATTGATTGGAGACTGCGTAAGTGTTTTTTGTTCTTGATAGCGTTGCGAGACATTTGCGGATGATTGATATGTGGACTGACAAGCACCCTTCGATCGGGCGTCAGCCTCCCGTATCTCCCATCTCAACACGACCTTTTCTCTACAGCGAGGGAAGGACACGTGTATGCGAGTGGGACGTACAGGAAGCCGTCGCACAAATCGGCGGGCGATATTACTTCCCTCCGGCCAACCGTTGTTCAGGGTTCGTAGAAGCTGGGTTTGTCATTGTCGATACGCACTTTCCACCCTACTCGATATTGTTGCCATTTAACGAGCTGATCGTCATTCCGTGGACGGCAGTGGCACCCCATTGGCCTCGAACCCTGTGTACAGAGTGCCAGCGTTTCGATCGCTACGAGGCGAAGGGCTTCCACTACCGAATACGAAGTGAGGACGAGCATAAGGAAAGAGCCACGCATTTGCGACCCTCCACATCAGACTCAAAACTGACTAACGAACGACGACGGGACTTGATCCGAAAACGAGACACGCGAAGCGTGCCAAAGCCCTTCCGCTCTAAACAACGGGTCGTAGCACGATGTGAAACTCGACAATACTTTTTGGATTGAATTTGGATTTTTCTCTTTTCGCCCCGTGCCCGCGCGCGCATCCCGCGACGCGCGAAGGCAACCGACTTACTTCATCGGACCAACACGGGGGATCTCAGTTCCATCTGTGTCCCCACACTCAATTTCCAAAAATCCTTGGCACACCCCATCTTGCTATTTTTCTGGGCCTCTTTCCGCACGCCTAACACTCCGAACGAAAGACAGCACAGGGCGTGAGGTTGCGCGTCACACGCCCCTTGCTTGTCTAATTGCATTCATACCCCTAAGACTCCCCCACTTTTCCCCCAAAATCCTTGGCACACCCCTTTTCGCACTTCCAGGCCCACATCCCACTCCGATCAGGAAGTCGCGCTGGGTGTGAGGTTGGGCGTCACAACAGCAGTGACAAGCACCAAGGCTAGGCAAACCCCCAGCCCTAGTGGAAGCGGATGCGGACGAACCTTGCCGTACGGGAACTTCGGACGCCAGGCTCATGCAATC